CATTTTATTTAAAAAGGCGCCTTTCTGGACACTCAAGGTCACCGTACAAAAGCATAAAAAGTGTCAGAAAAAATAATAATAATTATAAAGACATTTAAAAACATTTAAAAAATACAGAGGCTGTGACAGTGAAATTGATATTTTTAAAGAGAATAATCAATCTTGAACAGATGGGTTTGGAGTTGCATTTTAAAATGGAGAATTGAGTCCGTATTTCAAAGTTGGGGTGGTAGAGAGTCTTAGACATTGCATTGCAAAATGTGAAAATCAAACATATCTGTAAGCCGGAAATAAATTCTTACAGCCCCATGATACTCAAGCCTTGCATGACTTGAGCTCTGTTTCTCAGATTTATGTGCGCAATTTTCAAAAGAAAGGAAAAAGATTTTAACTTTTCAAAGGAAACTTTTATAAGACAGTTTTTCTCTTTTTAGTACTTTTTTCATTAAAACACCCAGCAGAGGAAATGGAGAGGTTGGGGCCCTATGGATATCTTATCAAGGAGTTGCACAAGGGTAATAATTTGAGCCAGTCCCTCCTTCGTGCCTTCTTTCATATTTCATGGAACACTCATAATAGTTCCCACAGGCAAATGCTGATTTCACAGGATAGTAGCACCTCTTATTATACCTACTTATAGCAATTCTCTCCTGTGGCTCACACCCAGAGAACGTTTAAGCTGGGTACTTTCCAGACTATTTGAAATAGTGACCCTTCTCAAGATTATTACATTACTGCCGAAAGCAGAGCTGTGATTGAGCACTTTGCCATTGTGTAGATGGTGAAGTAAACAAGTGCAATGGCCTGCTGCACTTGTCTCAAATTAGCAGAGTATGGTGGCCAGAGAAAACGGTCCTGAAGGAGGAATGTGAGTGATGCATGCCAGATGAGGAGATATAAGACAGGATACCAAGGCAGATGTAGGGACTCTGTATGGGGAAGTATTTTGGTCGCATATGGCCTGGAGCATTAAAAAGTGCTCAAGAAAGATTTCAGATTGTTTAAAGACTTTTAGAATAAAGAATAAAATGGATCTAAAATATTAGACATTGAGCAATTATACTTAGAAAGTATAGGAATCCTTTTCATCCCCCCAAATGTGAAAAAGCTGATAATTCTAAGAAAGTATTACCAAATCCTTTAAGAAGTTCCTCTTTTGAATTGGCTTCTGCTGGCAGCAATCCCATAGAAAGCTTTTCAAGGTCTCAGCTCATCAAATTCACCATAGACCCATTTTGCTTGGAAACGTGTTCAGTCTTGCACTTTTTTCAGAAAATAATCTTGATGTTGCAGCTTTAGAGTCCAAGAGCGTGACACTCAGGCATTGTTTTTTTCACGTTAACAGACATTACATCACCCACTTCTTGCTTCAATTACACGTTAGCTGCTTGAGGAAAGGGTACAAAGGTGAAAATTAATGCAGGGTTGAAGCTTGAACAGCACAGGATGGTGAAAAATAAATGAAAGCAGCACTTTCTCCTCTGGTTTCAGTCCACTTTAGAATCATTGTCCAGACAGATCCAAAATTCCAAAACTCCTGATATGCTAATATCAGATATAGAGTCTGCAATGCAGCAGCAAAGATTGTTGGAGCTGCATATGCACAACTGCTGGAACAGGCTTTTATTGCTAACATGCTTTAATACCATATAAGCAACACCCTAACTTTGACAACAACCAAAAAAAATGTTAAAAAACTTCAGAACTGTAACTCTCGTCACGACAGACACGGATTGATTTCTCTTTAACTGGCATTTATTTCATCTGTTCTCTCATTTACATTCTTTATGACGTTCATGAAGAGAGGTTCTTTACATGCTTGCATCAGCTTTGCAATCTAGCTTCATAGTGTAGCATCTATTAATTTTAACGTAGTAGTACACAAGTATGAACATTGGTTCCTGGCTAAACAGAAAAGAGCAAACTTATAAAATAAATCATAAAATTAACCCGTATTTTATCTTATAACACGTGCATGAATTTACTCATTTAAAGTTTTAACCTAAACAACAACATAAATTATGAATGATTAATTTTAACAAGAATTCAACAGCACTTACAAGAACAATGTGGCCAATAATATTGTGCATTTCTTTGTGTTTTAAGGATGTTAAATCCAGGAGGTGCACTGATCAGAAACCTCAAAGGAGATGAATAGAAGGGTAGTAATAACCCTGCAACTGAATTACAGCTGTGTCAGAAATCCTGTTTTTTGCTAGAACCAAAGCAGAGGGAAGTAAGATTTTTGATTGTCATATATTTTCTTCATTCTGATCAACATTAAAGTTATTTCATTCTATCTTTCGTGTGAACCAATGCTTTTTCTTAAGTCCTACTTTATCTGAATGGAAGGAGTGCCATTAAAGTGACCATCCTCCTGCTGCTGCTAGTTTTTTATATGATAGGTGGCTGATACTGACACCTATAGGTCAAAAGCTGCGCGTTATATATGTTTCACTTATGCCTAGAGAACAGAACTGTCAGCTAAGAGAAAATCAAAAAGATAAATGCAGGAATAAGTGGCACCCAAGGTCTTGCCGTCTATCTTGCTCAATTTCAAGCCACATTTATTCTTTGCTGGCCATGTAATGGACTGGAAAACTGTCCATGGTGTGTCCTCCTCGCATAGGTTGGCTGCTAAGAGGTCACCCTAAACAGGATTAATTAGATGCCGAAAATTGATGGATTGATAGAGTATTTAAAATCAACAAATTATATTGCCATTGCTTTCAAGTTGTACTAAAAAGTACTGTACATGCTTTTATTCTTCTAGTGCAGATGAAAACTGTCCTTGTTTTGCAAAGATTAAGAGTCACAAAGAGCTGCCAGATTGGCTTTGATAGTTATTAATTTAACTATTATGTGTTGTTATAACTTGGTAAAAATAATACATTCTTATGAAACTTCTTATTTGGGACCTGATGCTTAAGGTGAGGAATTGTAGATGATTTATTTTTATTCATTATATTGAATGGTTGATTCAATGTGTTTATATTTATGTTTTCTTTTAAGATAAACTTAATAATTCAATGTGGCATAAAATTGTATTTTTAAATAAATCTTCTTATTCAATTTTTTAAAGCCATTGAAAAATACATATGCAGGCATTTTGTTTGTCAATTTGTTTTCAAAACTAGACTGCTACTACAAATACTTGTACAACTCCAGCATCTTCCACTATTATTATAATATTATTTTACTTTAGATAAAGAAGAATAATTCAGTAAATGCCACTTCCTCAACATAATATCATTAATGTTTTTGCATATTTAATTAATAAGTTGAGATGTACATTTAGAAATTATCAAATTTTAGAATACCCCTTTTGTCATTCATTCTACTTGTTATGCTGAATGCAGGACGACACATTGCTAAACTGAAGAACATGTAATAAATAAGACTTTTTTTTTTTTTAACATCACCACGATTATTTAGGATACTTCTTTAGACTTTAGAACTCAGTCCCATTTAACTAAATCTAACCTGCTCAAATCTGAATAATTTTAGTTCAAGAATAAGTTGAACACAAGGTGAAAAAAAGAGATACAACTTTCAGTAAAATATGTATCAGGATCTTAACACATGAAACCCTGTATCGTAAGACAATGATTTTTAGGAATTGTTAGAAGAATAGGCCCCAAGAAAGGCCATCATCTATGGCATCCATATTGGATTTACACATGCTGACGTTTCCATAACATCTCCTGTGATGCTAATACAATGGACATTATTTGGCATTTCTAGATGATAGACTAATCTATGTCTCTAGTTTGTTGTTTTAAACAGTAATTCATAGTTATAGAAATACCATCTTAATCATTAAGCCTGGATAACATAGTTGGGAAATCATCAACTTCCAACTTCCAGGGTTCAGTTTCAGCCTGGTTCTGCCAGAGGTTTCCTCCTGTTTTCTCTACACAACTGCTGCTTGCATGCCTGATGTGAGGGATTACAGAGTCAAAGACTGCAAGCCAATACATGCTCATCCAGGGGGAATGGATCCTGAGAAGTCAATGACCATGCAATCAGCTGGGTTTCATTAAGTAGAAACCTTTTAACCAATCTGTCTGTGTAATATCATTGAATTGTCTTTACCTTGAGAATCTACATATGTGTTGTGAATTGTTGTTATATGAATAAACTGAATTGAGCACATTTTAAATGCAACTGTATGGCTAGATAGAAATAGCCTGATATTTTTTTGGAATGTTGTGAATGCTGAGGCCCACCATTTAAAAACATTTTAATAACCTCTGCTGCTTGCATCGTGATATATGGGGAGTGATGGCCTAGTGGTTAGAGCAGTGTGCTTCTGCTCTGAAAAGTTTGCAAGTACCCGGTTTGATCCCTACAGCCTCCACTCTGGGTTCTTGAGCAAAACCCTTAACCCCACACTGCTCCCCCGGGCTCTACACAATGTCAGCCCACTGCTCCCTAAGGGGATGGGTCAAATGCAGAGAGTTAATTTACCATTTGTTTGACATAAAAGGGATTTACATTTTTAGTTTTAACATAACTGTTTATTAATAAGTCATGCTGCCCTTATCCCCTGAATCCATAGGGATGCAGCAGAAATATACCTTCTTAACTTGAAGAACTGCGCAACATTAAACCATCAGATATTTATTAATTTCGAAAATGGCAAACAAAGACATTTCATTATCAATTTATTTTATTTTTGACTCTTCAGGAACTACATAATTAATTTAACTACATACATTAATATATGAATAGTTCAATTAATTTGATCCATTTTAGATTTAAACTAAGACAACTTTTATTGCTATTTTATATACACAGAGTGTATACAAAACGAAAAAAATGTTGGATTAATATGGTGTTTTTGAATCGAATAAATTAATAAAAGCTTAAGTATCATTGGCATCATAAAAATAGTGCTCTTTTTTCACTACAGAAAACTGATTAGTATGTGTTACTGTACCTTTAAGAAAAGTAGTATCCGCCCTCATGTGTGACGTCTCCTCATTCGCGGCATGCTCACTGGTAGTCCAATTATTATTAATGGCGGGTATTGTACAAAACACATAGAAATTTACGCTATTGTTTGTTATATAGTTGTGTTATTGTTCATGAGTGATTTCCAAGCAATATTCGATTGAATTCTGATTTATTTTTGAGTTTAAAGACAACGAAGGAGCCGAATTGCAGCTCCAGAAGAGCTAAAAAACTGGTATCTTTATCATGATCATGTCGCGTGCGGTAGTGTGTTAACGAATGTGTCAGAGTGAAACTAGGCAGGAAGACGGCGTGCGTTTGACTTGAGCATTAGCTTAACTGCTGGCTATGCTAACTTGCAGAAACGTCAGTTTTACTGCTCCGGTTTCAGCCCTGCTGTATAAAACAGTGAACTTAATGAGACAAAAGAAGTTAAGCTAGTAAATAAGCTAGGTGTCCCATTCATTCGACCTTTGTCATGGCTCTTTATAAATATCGAGAGTCGAAAAGGAGTCTGGCGAAATTGTTAGTTTTATTTTTTATGTCTCTCCATTGTGCCTACGGTTCGTCAAAACTAAATATTCCCAAAGTGTTGCTCCCACTTGCGAGAAGTACAAGAATTAACTTCACACTGGAGACGACTGAAGGCTGCTACAGATGGTGAGTACACTCAGGCCTGCTTCGTGGTACATGGAGGTGTCTTATTACCCTGGAGCAAGTGAACCCACATGGTCATGTACAGTGTAGTAGTATTTTAGAAGATATATGTTCCCCCCCAGTCTTTGGTGTCTTTGTCTCAGATTTATTGAGTAAAAAATATGAGTTGCAAATTCTGAGTGGTTATTGTCTCTTGCTTAAAAGCAATATCAATGCATGTTAGAGTCACTGTTAGTGACACTATGAATGGAGATGCACATGGCTGATGACATTTTACATTTTCCCCCCAACTTTTAAATGAAATCATAAGACATGTAATTCAAAAGTCAAAATTATATCAATAATTTGACTCCACAGGTCCTAAATTACAGTCAGTAAATCTGGAAATTTTACTCCCTTCTATTTTGCCCCAACTTTATCATTCCTAGTTTTTACCCCAGCAAGTAAATCATTTGTCTAATAAAAATGTACATCTGTGCGTGTTCGAAAACATTGTTTTGTATACTTTCAATGAAATAAAATGCATATGAATTAAGATAAGTAAATGCATTAGTGTGGAGGTCTCCAACAGGGGGTCCACCGAGGTACTGCATGGGGGTTGTGAAAGTTTTGGTTGATTTCTTTTTTTTTTTTTTATGTGGTGCAGTGGGAAGCACTGCTGCCTTGCAGCAAAAAGGTTCTAGGTTCGTTCGATTCCCGGTCCAGGGTCTTTCTGTATGGAGTTTGCATCTTCTCTCTGCGTGGGTTCTCTCTGGGTACTCCGGCTTCCTCCCAGATTAATTAAATTAATTGTTTCTCTACAGTCCCCCTTAGGTGTGAGTGTGTGTGTGTGTGTGTGTGTGAATGGTTGTCCTGTTTGTCTCTGTGTTGCCCTGCGATGGACTGGCGACCTGTCCAGGGTGTACCCCGCCTCTGGCCCATTGACTGCTGGAGGTAGGCACCAGCACCCCTCGCGACCCCAATTGGGACAAGCGTGCTAGAAAATGGATGGATGGATGGATTCCCCCCAGCAATTTTTTCCACTAATTGAAATGTCTTTAAATACACATTGGATTGGATAGGCTGCTTTAAATACACATTAACATGAATTCAACATACTGTAGTAAACAGATAAATGGAGGCAGAAGATGTCTTTCAGTCATCAATGCTCACATTCAGAGACACACAGGAGCTCTTTCAAGCTGGGCACCGTTTCATTCACAACACCTGTCCCATCAACAAGGAGTCAGAATCAGAAATACTTAAATAATCCCAGGGTAAAATTACATTCGTTGCATATCTCCATATGTAATAGGGTGACTATAGGACCAGTATGATATAACACAATTTCATACAGTATATATCATACCTGGGTCCCCGCTCCATCTCGCCATCAGTTTGGGGGTCCTTGGCCTGGAAAACGTTGAAGACCCTTTTTTGCATTAGTGGATGATTAAATGTTTGTATCCAATCCAACTTTGAATTCATTAGGCAGCAAATTTAAATCATAAGCATTTATTTTGGTATTCTTATTTATTTTACTCAATAGTTTTTCGACTTATTTCCTGACACTGTTTTTTGACCTGCACAGTGATTTAACTGCAGGCCAAACATCCCTTTAACTGTCATGCCCCGTAGCTTTGATTGGATTTGATAGTTTTCCGTAACACATTAGGTTTTTAAAAATAACTTTAATAACAAATTGCTTTAGTGTGATTCATCCAAGTCTGAAATTTGCATCATGAGGTTCTTTAAAGGTTTCTGAGAGTATTATATTTTACACAATGAAAAGTGCAAATATCCTGAAGTCAAATTTTATATTTTTTTATCAATTTAGATTGTTGTAGTGGAGGAAAGGTTCTTTTGTATGAGTTAGAGAAGCAATTGTTTTGAATCGATCACAAAATAAAAGCGTTACAAGATTATCCCCATTTATGAATTGTATTTCCCTAATCTTTGGCGGATTTTATATATATATTTTTTATGCGGCTCACAAAGAGTTCATTGTCCTGAATGAAGTTGGTTAATTTGTTTGTAGTATTCAAAAGATTATGTTTTGGTTGTATGAAAGACCAATCACTGACCAGAACTGACTGGATTATACGTGCATCTGTAATTCAATTAATTGAACAGGCTAGAAGCTGATCAGTCCATTCAGTCCCGCCTCCTCTGGAAAACTAATATAACAAAAGTTATAAAGTATTGAATAGGTCGGTCATATTTTCAGCTGATGTTAAAAAAATGAATTGCTTTAAACTGGTTGGATGGACGTGTTTCTCTTATGCCCTATCTGATGTAGATTATACTGACTGAGATGCTAAAGAAAACAGAGTAATTGGAGGGTCATTAACATTGTGAAGGAGATCTAGGTACCATATGCACTGTATGGATGACATCCCAACAATGTTGGGGCACCCAAAGAAATATATATCTTTTTTCCACCATTAATTGCTATAGAATGCCAACAAATAGAAATTCTATAACAGAGCCTTATACTGTAATAGCCCGGTCATAACCGTTTTTCTTTTATCCAGGTCATCCACCAGACCTGAGGTAGCAAGCATCCAACCTGTGGAAGAAGATGCAGGTAGAGGCTGCTCTCGGAAGGCTGTTCTGCAGGCTCTGTCCACCCAGCCCTCCAGATTGACCAGCATCATTTTAGCTGAAGATGTTGGTAAATAAAACAACACTTTTTGCTTCTGAATATGACAATGGCAGCTGTGTAGAGTTCCCTTTTACAGTCAATTCTGTTGAAAAGTATAGACCATACCAAGTGTTGTTCTTTGATATTTGTTAGTGTATTTTTTTTTTTTTGGGGGGGGGGGTGTCTTACCTTGGTTCAGACTGTTTAACTTCTCGTCTCCTGAATTTGTTTTGCAGTTCAAAGTTTTCTCTTAACCTCTTAATATCCACATAAAAATCAACCCAAATCACAACATCTGACTCAGAATGTAGGCTGAAATTGCCCAGCTTTATCACATTTGCTTATTTCATTTGTCCCGTGAAACACCCATTAGCGACCAGCATGGCCACAACATTTGAATACTGTGATAAGTGTACAGTGTTCTACTGAGGATTAAAGCAATCTCTAAAGCGAATAACTTCACACTACTCATTTGCATATATTTATCATAAAGTATAGTTCATTTATTATGCCTCTTTTTATCACCTATCTACTTGTAGTTACTGGACAGGTACTACGCTGTGACGCCATCGTTGACATAATCAGTGAGATCCAGATAGTCTCCACGACCAGAGAACTGCATCTTGAAGACTCTCCACTGGCGCTCAAAATTCATGCACTGGATTCTGAAGGTGATAAGCTGATTTATTGCAGGATATCCACCTTCTATTGAAAGGCTAATGGGGGTTTAAATAAGTAAACACCTCATTTGGAGAATGTGTAATTTAAAAAAAATGTTTTATATTAACCCAGCTCTCCGGTAAGAGGGATTTAACGTGATGCTGTTTATTTGTTGCTTTGAGACCTCTTCAGAGTGAGCTGGCTGCAGGCAGCTCTTTCTTCCTACAGTGAGGTAGCTGTTTGTTCTGTGTGACTTGTTCCATTTAGGACAGCCACACTTAGTTTAATGAGCTGTAGCTGCAGCCTGATACTTTCTGATGATGGCTCTAGGGTGTGGTGCTCTGTTTGCTTTGGCGTAAGACTCCATTTCAGACCCTTTAAACAGAGTAGATTGCAAAAGATTGCAATGCACTGTTTAATGAAATCCCTCCTGGTTTTGTTTTAACTAATCTGGCTGCCAGCAGCCTTCAGACAAACAATTTTTGCTTAATTATAAACTGAAATGTAGGGACCTCTCGGACAGTATTGAATCTTTCAAAACTTTCAAGAAATTATCTCAGTTCCTCATCAATTCTTGTTCATGTACATGTACATTTTTTGAGTAAAAGCAAAGGTTTCAATACAAACTTTTTTCCTTTTACAGGGAACACCTTCTCTACCCTTGCAGGTCTGGTGTTTGACTGGACTTTAGTGAAAGATGTAGATGTGAATGGATTTACAGATTCCTACAATTCATTACGGTAATCCCTCTGTCATTAATTTTCCACTCATCCCCTGTAGAAATTTGTGATATAAACCACCAGATTTCCCAATAAGCAAATTATGAATTGATCCTGCTTTGCACATATAATTTTAACTATTCTGAAAATGTCCTATTTATAAAATCAAATTTAAAAGTGTTTCTTACTGTTTTTCTTACTGTTGTTTTTTCTTTGTATTATCTTTAGGGTGCTAAAATTCTCAGAGTCCACATACACTCCTCCTTTATACATATCTGAAATGGAGCGTGTGGGGAAGCAAGGAGACATCATTCTAGTGTCGGGACTGAAAACAGGACACGCTAAACTAAAGGCAAAAATACAAGAGTCTCTGTATAAGGTAATTGGCTTATTCATATTAGTGCAGCTAAATTGTTTTATCGGGTATTAACTAAATATCTGCAAGTCAATTGCTAAAGTTCGTTTGTTGCATTTTCTCTGCTGTGCATCAAATCCCCTAAAGTTTTATTATATATAATCTAACCAACACCGTGTGCTGTGATGCTCTTATTTTAAGTTTGGTTAAAGTTTGTTTGAGGTCAGGGACCTATGCTAAACACGGGGATGTGGTCTGTTACAATAAAAAAAACCCATAAACAATAAATCAGTTAATTGCATGATAAAACTCACACAATCAATTGGAATTAACTCATAAATTCACACTTTGATGCTTGTTTGTTTTCCTGTTTTCTTTCTCTCTTTGTACTAAACAGTCCGGGTGACCAAAGGTTTCACTCCGGTGCATTGATCTCCACTCACCCCTCCCCTCATTGTTTCTTTAGCGTAGTGAGTGTAGCATAAGAGTCTCATGACTGAGGAGTAACAAGCCAGAAAATTGCTTGTTGAGATTTGCAGGAACTGATGGAATTGGTTTGAAAGGCGATAGCTGCAGTATTGGAGCACATTGGACTTAACCCTAATTACAAAATCCTCATTTATTACAATAATTTCTCGTACAGTTTTTCAGCTAGCCATATTTGCTATTGTGACAGGCCTAATGGGGATAATAATTTGTATTTTCTGCTGGTAATGAAACAATATATATATCCTACAAGGGAGGCTGTGGAATGTGCTCGTTTTTATTGATAGAAAATAATGAAAAAATATCTCAATTGACAGGTGAATATCGGTATTGGACAGGAAAAGCCTGATTAGGTGTCGTTTAATATCTTAGTTTTGTTGCAATTGGTCCCTCTGTTTGATGGAGTAAGATGAACTTTGAAAATTAGCAAAATGTAACATAATTTCAGAGCTGCAGCAGAAACGAATGCATCCACTACAAAATGTACCCAACGGATTGTTGCGTGTAATTTGATTCTCATTTGATTTCTCTTTTTGGCACACTTATGAAACCTGTAACCGCTTCATTTTATTAAAAGGCGGGAAGCCAAAGCTTTGTTGTTTTGTAACCATGGTATCCATGCCACAGGATGTGGGTGCTGCTGAAGTGAGACTGCTGATTTTAGAGAACATCCTGCTGAGCCCTGCACATGATGTCTACTTGCTGGCAGGAACCTCCATCAAATACAGAGTCCTAAAGATAAGACAAGGCAAAATCACAGGTGTGAATCTTTACACTATGGTTTTATCTTTCAGCTGCTGAACAGTTAAAACCTTATTTAAGCTGAAAAGATAAAATGAAAGTGAAATAGTGATGTAATTTCACAGATAAGTGTTTTTTTTTGTCTGCTTAACATGATTATTTTTATGTTGGAAGAACCAAAGCTCTACAAACTGATCTGTGTTTTTGTTCATTTGTCCAGAGCTTTCTATGCCTTGTGATCAGTATGAGCTGCACCTTCAGAACAGTGTGGTTGGTCCCAATGGAAATCCAGATATCAGTGTGGCCTCTCTTGATCAAAGTACATCCAAAGTTACAGGAGTTCAGCTGGGACACATCAATGTAGTGCTGGATCACAAGAGTATCCTTCAAGTGAAATGAGCCTGCAGCTAAAATTGTTGCAGTGCCATAATGAGCTGTTTTTTTTTTTTTATCAAGATGCAACAATCAATCGCAAGAGACTGGAGTGTGAGGAAAGTCGGCATAGACTTGGAATGGCGAGATCAATGCACCTCTAGTTTTCTACCAGTGCATTATTTATTATTATGTCTTTCAGAGCTGTCACTTTCATTCATCTCTGCTTGGATAACTTTTCCTTAATGGCTTTGATTAAAGGTCTTCGGATGCAAGGAGTGTCCCGCCTACCCAACAGCACGCTCTATGTTGTTGAGCCAGGCTACCTCGGTCTGTCTTCCTCTTTATACACTATTTTAATTTCCTCTTTTGAAAGATTCAGTTGACCTTTCTTTTTTTTTCCCTATGTGTTTAGGTTTTAAGATTTATCCAGGGGAAAGCTGGGTTCTTGAAACGGGCAGAGAATATGACATTTTTATTGAAGTGTTTGATAAATCTGGGAACAAAATTTTCCTCTCTGATGTAAGTGAAAATCATCTTTATTCCAAGACTTTTTGTGTTTGGACAAAAACAAAAGGCCAAATTAGAATAGTTTTCATAAGTTTGACTATTTCTTCCAATGTGACAGAATATCCGAATAACCACGGTTTTCCCTGAGGAGTATTTTGAAGTTCTGGATTCTTCAGTAAATGGATCATATCATCATGTCAGAGCCCTAAGAGATGGCCTTACTCTGATTGGTGCCAACCTAAAAGCTGTTGTTGATGAAGTGAGTTCTTATTACCTCAACATTATCTTAGTTTTAATCCTGTTTACATTTCCGCCACTTCATGATGTCATTTCCTGTGTCCCCTGTTTTCTTTCAGTATGGAAGGGTCCATGCGCTCAGCAACCCAGTTCACAATGAACAGGATGTGGAAATTTATAACCCCATAGTCCTTACTCCCAGTATTCTCACGTTTCCGTGGCAACCGAAAGTTGGAGCATATCAGTACACAATAAAGGTGATTATTTCTTTTCAGACATCCTGCCAAAGGGCCTTGAATGCAATAAACAGCAGCATATTAAGCCCAGTAATTTCAACTTCAAAACAAGATCTGGAGCACCTCGTCTGAGAGTGAGATCGAATTAGTAAAATGAAGTGTTTGGATGTGATGAGGTGTTCTGTTTCTCACTGCAGGCGACAGGTGGGAGTGGGAATTTCAGCTGGACTTCATCAAATCCGGCTGTAGCTACAGTGACTGTGAAAGGACTGATGACCACAGTCAGTGACATTGGTGTCACACTCATTTATGCCCATGACCTGCGTAACCCGCTGCACTATGGACAAATGAAGGTTGGAAGATAATGACACTCCTTTTTAAATTATTTTCACACACATGTTGAACCTTGTATGGGTTTGAATTACATTTTATTAAACAATCAGATAGTAGTTTTCTTTTATTGTTTAGCCTAAATTAGGGCTGGGCATTTAATTCAATATCAATGTATTGCACAATACATTTTTATTCATTATCTGTTTAATGACATTATAACACATCGCTTTGCTGCTAATCTGTACAGTAAGTTTTAGCTAAAAATATGAACCCATGATACAGTGACCAAATGTCTTGTACCCAGCAAAAGCCTTCCAAACGTCTCAGATTTTAGCATCTGATGAATTAAAAAGATTGTTGCGTGCGCTCTGTAGAAAGACTGTTGCTCGTTAAGCAGCATCTTGTCACTTAGCTTAAAGTTACAGTAGAAAAGCTGAGCGCAGCCTGAAAATAAGAGGAGAGCACAAAAAAGGGCTTGGATCTATTTTGTTTTTACCAAAAATAAGAAGTACAAAGTAAATCAAGCTTTTATGAAAAAAAAACTTATTGTAAAGTACTGCCTACAGTTTTATTAAAAGTAGATTTTTTTTTTTTTTTATGAATTTTGGACCTTTATTATATTTTTCAGTGCAAGTTATTGTTTTGCTGATTTATTAAATTGATTTGTGAACATGGTCTTTCAGCCTTTGGTTTGTCTTTTTAAACATGACAGTCAAATCATAAAAAAATAATAAAGGACGCAATGATAAAGAAACTGTTGATAATTTCATTATCAATCATTCCAAAAATGTTAAATTAGTTAAAAAAGAAGTCAGAATTATATAGTATTGACCACAATTAAGAAAAATGTATATGTTTTCACCATATCTTCCAGCCCTAGCCTAGCAGGTGTTTTAGAAAAGGAAGATAGATGGAGCTAAAAACATAATGTAAAATAAAAACGTTTTAGAGATCTAAGCCTGACGCAGAAGTTCACCTTTCATCTGGGCAACAATCCTAGCATAGCTAGCCTGATGTAGTCCGACTCAATTCTAGTCAGAATATGAGTCTGATACTGCTCCATAGAGCTGTGATTATGGGGCGTGTTTCGAATGAACCAGGAAAAAAAAAAATGCCTCTGCACTCAATTGGATAGACCTACAACCAATAAGAGCAACGGAGTGCGTGACGTATGTTAAGCGATGCATAGTTGTTGTCAACAAAAATCAAAGCGTGCAGTTGCACGCCTAGAATAAGAAGATGAGTCTTGATCGCGTTTCTCTGTTCCTCTTTTAAAATTAATTTGCTGTCGATATCTTCTAGAACAGACCTAATAGCAGAATCTACTCACCTCAACTCTCCGGCGGCAGCCATTGTTGTCACCCAAGGGCGCTTTGGTCACGTGGTTGATTACGTTACTGTTTACTGTATCTGTCCATCATCGTATAAAGCCCGCCCTGACAATTTGATTGGATCGCCAGAGAGTGGGCGATCATACTCGCGCTACTATGGAGCAAAGCCAGACCGAACTTCCCGACCTCAAACCTTGTGGGCGGGACTAAGTTCAGAATGGCACCCAGGCTATAGCATAGCCACAGCTACAATAAAATAGTTTAAAACTCGTAAAATGTCTCAGTAAAAGGCAGTTACCGTTCAGATGCTTTTTCTTCTTTTCTTAATGAAAAGTGCGGTACAAATTGGATTTATTATTATTATTATGAAGCTTACTGAGCTTAAGATTTTTTGCAAGGAAAAACTGGAAGAAAATAATCAGTTTATAGAAATGGTGAACTGATAGACAGACCCCTCTAGTTCTACATGTGTTGATCGGGCTGACTACCAATCCGTACCACACTCATGGCATTTGTATTTGTGCTTATCAGGTGCATAAACGCACAACGAAATACTGTTTTCCATTGACACTTCACAAAAAATAGTACGGGGCGTGAATACATTTCTTACTTAACCATTTATAGTATGGCATCATTGTAAAGCATATTCCTTCATTATTTTTAATCTTTCCTCATTAGGTATATGTTGTTGAGCCTGTTGCCATGGATTTTGCTCCATGTCCAGTAGAAGCCCGGTTGGGCCAGGTTCTGGATCTACCCCTCAGGATCTTTGGGCTGCTGGAGGAGTTGGAGATGCAGCGGGTTATGTTGAGTGACTGCTCCCACTTTGACCTGCTGGTAGAGGAGGAGAACCATGGAGTATTTGAACTGTTAGATGGTGAGTCCTGGTGTTTTGGCTGGGTCAGACTCAGATCTGCATGGAAAGTACCAACGGTTGTTTGTTGTTTGTAAAGATGATCAAGGAAGTACAGCAGCTATTAGAAGGTTGTAAAACAACATTCCTATAAACTGACAGCAGCAAAGTGATCTGCTGTTCTCTCTGAAAATAATACTGCATCAAAGCAGTAGTATTTTTATTTTGTCCCATTTTAAAGTTGTCAATTTAAATTTTGTCTAACCCTTTTGCTTGTCCCACTTTGTTTGGTTCTTCCTCAGAGAGGCTGGCTCCTGGCCAGAAGCACTGCAGCGGAGTGCGAGCCAAGGCCCTGACTCCTGGCTACACAGTGCTTACTGTCAGCTACACTCATGGCAATGTGCATCTCAGTGCCAAGATCACTGTTGCTGCCTACCTTCCTCTCAGAGTGAGTCTTTAAATCTTATCCTTCTAGGAATTTGTTAATTATGAGCTCTGACCATGATGTTTTAACCAGTCTGTACATATTGCAGGTTTCCTGAGGCTCAGAGATAGCTTAACAAATTGTTTTAGGTAGAATAAAAAACAGCAAAGGTTAATGTTGTGTATTTGTATTCCATTTAGTTCAGATAAAAGCGGCATAAATAACATTACAGCGAAGTTTGTTTGTCTTTATGTAGCAACTCACTTTATTGCCACCTGTCTTCTTCAGAAACAAATGAAAAATCTTCTTTTGTGTCAAGGCAGAGATAAAATGATTAGCTCCATAATCGGCTCCGCTCTGCTTCTGAATTTCCTCTGGTGTTTTTATTATTCTTCACCATTTATGATTTTGTTTAGTCAAGTCTAGAATTGAGTCAAGCAAGCTGTTAGTGAAATTTGATAATCCAATGCTGTGAGTTTTCTATCAGGAAGTGGGAATAATAAATGGCTTCATAAAAATGTCCTCAGTCTTTATATGCAGATTTAAATATAATCTCTGGCTTTCAGGTGCACATAATTCTAGCTATAAGTAGTATCATGATTGCATCACTTTGGGGCCCTGTGTTTTTGTTTATCAGGGAATGGCTTGTTTTTTTTTTTAAATATTTCAGATATTTTTGCAGTGTTGCTTCATTTGTTTTTATCCAGGCAGCTAAGTTTGACCTATTTTTTATATGGCAAGCTGTGCCAAGTTTTAGATTTAACATTGATGTTCCTTTTAACAATTAAATGATTTTCAGTGCACATCGTACCCTTTTTTATGTAGGTTATGTTATTTGAAAATATAAAAATCTTTTTATTATATTATCTTGGTGATCTTTAAAGTTCATTTGCCCACCCCTTTAAACTGGCAGACATTTCTTGCTTCAGATTTCTGAGCTTGTGAATGCAATCTTGTCATTTTCAGGCAGTTGATCCAGTGTCTGTGGCTGTAGTCACACTGGGCTCCTCCAAAGACATGCTGTTTGAGGGAGGACCACGTCCTTGGGTTTTAGAACCCTCAAAGTTTTTCTGCTCTTCAAGAGCTGAGGATGAGACCAGCGTGAGCCTTAGTCTTATTAGTCCTTCATCTCACAACTATAATCACCACTGGCTTAGAGCAACCTGTAGGGTGCTGGGAGAGCAGGTAAGGGTGATGAAAAACATTTTTTCCCAGTCCCCAATTTTCTTTTTAGTCGGACGATGTGTTTTAATTTCAGCTGTTACTGTCTTACTCTTCAGGTTCTTGAGGTTACAGTGGGAAACAAGCCCACTGTTACTAATCCATTTCCAGCCTTGGAGCCAGCAGTGGTTAAGTTTGTTTGTGCACCTCCATCACGGCTCACTCTGGTCCCAGTTTATACCAGTCCACAGCTGGACCTGACCTGCCCTCTGCTGCAGCAGAATAAACAAGTGGTGCGTGATTTTTTTTTTTTTTTTTTACAAAGGGTTTGTATGCTAGCTTTTAATCACTAGAATAAGGTAATGGCATCATTTTTATTTTGGTTCTAGTTAATTATGCAGGGTTTCTTAGCTAGTTTTTTTTTTGACAAAAATAAATATTTATGAGGTAATATTATGGCAAGGGTGATGTTTGTTTGGAGAAGTTTGGGATGACGTCAACCAACTTAGAACTAATAAAGAGCAACAAATGATGTGCTCAAACAGCCCTCTCACACAGCTAATCAGAGGGTAAAACATTTATAAAAAATGTATATATTTGTAAATTTTAAAGATATTTTCTTCAGACATCAGTTTACCCTCCGTGTTCAGAGGCCTCAGTCCTCAACGAAAATGTCCCAGAATCAAATTCTGACCAGAAGTTCTTTGCTGTATATCATCCACCGTTTTCTGTTCTCCTGTTCCTGTTTTCTGAATTTCAAGATCAAGGCTACTAGAGCCCAAAGAAAGTAAACAAAATTTAAATGGCTATTATTAGTCTTCTGGATAATTTTTTTTTTTTTTTGAGTGTTTATAATAGCCAATTGGCAAAGACTCATATTTTGACTAACGGCGGCAGATGTGATGATTTTTCATAAGTCTGGACACCTATTGAGAAAAATAATTGCCATTTAAATGGCAATGCTAATTTTGTATTTGGGAACTTTTTTTTAGATGATGTATAAGTTGATAAGGTGATGTATAAGTTGATCTTATAAATTCTGGTTGCAGAAAGAGACTGTTGTAATAAAAGCATATGCATTTAAATACAGTAGATTACAGTTTTGCTAGGTTAACATTCAAACATTTTCCAGTCTAAATTTGTAAGTCCTGTTCTAATCTTCTCAATTTTTTTGTGCTTCTTTCTTAGGTACCGGTTTCCAATTATCGTAACCCTGTGTTAGACTTGGCAGCTTTTGATCAACAAGGAAGGAAATTTGACAACTTAAGCTCTTTAAGCATCTTTTGGGAATCCTCAAAGGGGTCTCTGGCTAGTATTGAGCCCACTATGCCTATGGAACTTCAACTCTTTGAGGATAGCAAAAAACAGATGAAACTTCATGGTAACATATATATTTTTTTTAATAGCCAGTGTTTGGTTGTCCCAACTTAAAAAAAAAAAAACCTCTACATGTCTAGGTAATTATAAAAGAACTTTGAGGAGCAGCTTTGTATGTTCTGTATTTTTTCTGATCAGGACGTCAGACAGTTCTCGTCCATCAACAAACGGGAATCGTTTCCATTACTGTGACAGCTCTTGGATACCAGGTTCCACATCTAGCAGCGGCCAAGGTTCCCAGTCCAGTGAGTAAAAAAAACTACTTCAAAATTAGATGCAACAGCAGTTGAAAAGGAATCTGGTTAAGATATTTCTATAATCTGTGTAATTCTGAATTAACCATGACTTGATCTCAAACCTGTAAAACATTTGAGGTCAAGGTAACAGCTGCTTTGCTGTCAGACAATATTTGGGGTCACAATGAACATCTGTCTTTGTCTTTTGAATGTTTAATGTCCATCCAGCAGCGCTGAGCCCTTTCTTCAATATGTCCTATTTAGCGTGATTTAACCTGGCTGTAAATACTGGGTCTGTTGTTAAGAAAAGGCTCTGATTCACTGCAGCTTAGCAAAATGTGCTCAGTTTAAGGCAAATATAGTCATTTCCACTTTGTTGTATATTTTCTAGTTCATGCTCTCTGTGAAATTTGATTTTATGGATTTTTAATTGCATTTTTGCATTTTGGTTTGATTTGAGTGCATTAGAAAGTTGCTGTTTCGTTGGAAAAATGATACTTCAGTAATGCCTTAAAACCCATTTGACATGCTAACATAGACAATTTAATGTAACCAGATAAAATAGGCAGCACAGGTATTAGTGCTACAGAGCTAGATGATGAATGCTTGAAGCTAAAATGATGGCAGGACCTACTTTTAAGTGGGCTGATAATTATATTACCCTCTCGCGGCACTCTGAAAAACAGAATTTCCTTTTTTCAGTCAGTCGATCTTCAAATATTGGGAATAGAAATAAGACTGACGACAAGTAACAAACACAATCCTGTCTGTGCAGAAGACTTAATTCCACACACTTGATCCAAAGGCAGATGCTCTGCTCAGAGTAGGAGTTAACTAAAGGCAGAACACATGGTGGGACAGGAGTTAATGATCCACAAGATCTCCTTCATTTGCTGACCTATACAATAGTTAATGGTCAGTTTTGAGTGTCTGTCATGTTTTATTGGAGTTATTTTGCTGAATAAAAAAAAAAAATCATAGAACCCATATTCTTACGCAAAACTGGTCATATAAGATTGCAATCAGCATGTTTACCCGAGAGCAACTTCTAAATCAGTGTAATTAGGTGTATTTTAGCACTTTGATTACTGTATACTAATGTGTAAACAAATATTTTCTTAGTATCTATAGCTGGTAAAATATGTATACTTAATGACATACTTATACTATCCCTTTTTCCCCTGTGGTGCATGTAATTCTTTCCTCCACCTTTCATTTTTGTCGATAATAAACGGCCCATAACAAACAGCTTTCCTTTCCTGCACAGTATGAACCTTTGACGCCTGTATCTGCAACACTGGAACTTCTGTTGGTTGAAGATGTGAAGGTTTTCCCTGATATGGTGACGATATATAACCACCCAGATGTTCAGGTAAGAGACAAAGAATCACTACTGCTCACTTGCATTTCATTTAGATTTTTTTATTTTATTCATTTGTGTATTTTTTGCATTGAGCACAGACTGCACCTCTGCCTGGATGACATGTTCATTTGAAAGTTAGGCCTGTATCTGGGGCACTCATTACATTGATTTAAAACTTTAGGTTAGGCTCATTTTAACAGTAGCTGCTGTGTTCACTATGAAGTTATTTGCCTATAGCTGTTTAGAAGATCAATTGAGACTTATTACCAAAGTCACTGTAGGTATATTTTTGTTTTAGTAATAACACTCAAACACTGTATTCCTAGAATCTGTAACAATACTTTTAATATCAAATGCAAAGGCTATTTTAAAGATATTTTTCGGTAAAAACTTAGAAAAATGTCTCTTTAAAGTTGTGTATATAAGAATGTCCAGCTTGGACTGTTGCAGCATTTCATAATGCTAAGCAAGCATGGGATGACAGTGGAAAGGAACATCTTCCCATATAACGGGAAGAAACTATAGCAGAATCCAGCTGAAATGGCCATCTTCTGTTTCTGGCTTAGGGTTTTAACACAAAGCTGGTTCAGGAGTGCTTTTTCTGAGAGTAAAAGTCAGAGCTGAAACAATGAAATTAATTGTGATTCATTGATTAGCAAAATAATCATCGATTAATCATGAACTGAAGTATTGAGACTCTAAAACTTACCTTTAGCTGACAGAGCAATGCACTACAGCAGTAATTATACCAAGATTGTAAAAAAAACAAAAACAAACTATATAAATATTTAGCATTTGATATAAATAAAACTTGCCTGTCAATATGCTCTATTCAGAACTCCCTAAGTGGGAAAAGTTTTAGTTTCACCTGGTTTTATTCTGTCAAAAATATTTTAAGAAACCTTTGGCTATCCGATGATTAATCAAAAAAAAAAAAAAAAGAAGTAAATTACAGCTTTGGATTAAACGTTTGGATGTTCTCATCGTAATGATGTAGATGCATTCGAAAAACTGGACCCTGAATGCCAAATGTTTCACCATGATGATGAAAATTCATGCTTCATTTTCGTTTGGTAATAATTATGGTTATTAAGAGCTTTCTCTAAATGTTAACATCATGTACTAAATCAATTATTTAGACAGACATCCAGTATCATTCTGGGCTGGTTTAATGAAGTTGCATGGGATTATTTCTCACTATTCGCACTGTGGAATTTTGTCCTCAATGCACATGAGACAGAGATCTGTGTAAGGGGATTATTTACTCACTTTAATTCCTCTGTCTGAATAGTGTGAAGATCATCTGCATTATGAAGCAATTTTCCTAATTCTTCTATTGTATTTTGTTTTGTAGTTGGATCTGATCATGAGAGAAGGTTCAGGGTACTTTTTCGTGAACACCAGTGTAAAGGGGCTAGTGGATGTGGTTCTCCAAGAGGCCCAAGGCGGGGCTCAGGTAACAAACATCTAAACTGTGTCCATGAGAATTTTCTGCAGTTCAGCAATTAAAAAGTGGTTTTATTAAATGTTCTTAAATATTCCTCCAAATAAACTCTTTTCTGTGTCCAGGTCTCCCCTGTTCGTCCAGGCACAGTCACTGTAATGGTACATGATCTCTGTCTGGCTTTTCCAGCACCTGCCAAAGCCACAGTTCATGTTTCTGACATCCTGGAGGTTAATGTGAGAGTGGTTGACAAGGTCAGTTTATCCCTTTTATCACTTAAGCCTCACAGCCCAACTAAACCTCAATATCTTTATCAGTGTCATGAATTGCCTGAAATGGCTGACTGATGTGCAGAGATGAAATATGGTTCCATAGCGCCCAACCTCCACAGCCCTATTAAGGGAAAGTCACTTTGTCCCTTAACTGTAGACCTATCATTTTTAACCGCATTTATTTTCCTCATTATAAATAAGATTAATCTTGATTACAGGTGGAGATTGGCAAATCTGTTAGAGCTTATGTCAGAGTGTTTGATGACAACAGGAAGCCCTTCTCAGCCAGCTATTTCAAATCCATGAATCTCAAACTCAAGGCAGCTTCAGTAATAGTTTCTCTGAGGTAAGTGATTAAACATGTGTTATTTAACATGAGCCAGTAAGCAATGCCTACATTTCCTGAACTCGTCCTGCAGTCCTTTAGCAGAGCTGACAGAAAGCGATACGGCAGTGTTCCTGGTGAAAGGACTTTCCATCGGTCAGACCTCTCTGTCAGCTGTTGTTGTGGATAAAAATGGTAGAAGAATTGCCTCTGCACCACAGCAAATTGAGGTATCATTTTCAAAAAGTGGGTTCAAATTTCTGTTCCAGTATATGCTGTAAAAAAGGTAACTCTTTCCTCCTCTTAAAGGTGTTTCCACCTTTCAAATTGATTCCCAAGAAGATGACTCTGTTAATCGGCGCAATGATGCAGGTAGGGGTGATAGGACTCTGCCATGTTCCGGCTGCCACTGGTTCATATTGCAAAGCAATTTTATCTTGTTGTCAACTTATCTGCCTGCATTACTTATCTGTTCCTTAAAGTTACCAGTTGCTGCTGGTATACGTGTCAAGTGGAGACATCTGCAGCTCAGTCAGTCTCTCCAATTAAAGTTTACCATAAAAGTTTATTTCCAGGTCCTGAACTTTGCTGTACATCACAGGTTGTTCTGCATCTCTTAAGCTTGTATTAGGAATGGTGATATAGCTTAAATTCTTCTTTTATCTTAAGTTTCAATACAAACAAATCACAAATCCAGT